TTGCAGGGAGTGAGTCTGATTGCTTAAGCTTCTTTCATCGTCCACTGAAAAGTCTTTTTCTCCCTTATACCACGGCTGTCCTCATCTTGTCATTTGGTCTTGGCTCAGTCTCTTATTTCATACAGTGCTCTCCTTTCGTAAACCCTAGCTGTCTTCAGCTGCAGCCTGGCAGCAGGGGAAATTACATATTTCTGTTACTGATGTTGCCACAAGTATCTAATTTTCTTGAAACATCACTTTCTTCATATCTTCATCTTTCCCTGCTCACAAAGTGCCAGAGATTTCCTGTTGCCAAGCAGATCGGCTCCCAGGCTTCTTGGCTACAGACTTACAGTCCTCCACCATCTGCTCCAATTAGTGGGCCTTTCTATGTCCCTAAGAACCTTAGGCTGGAGCCTTGTGACCATGGGTTGTTGTGTCTCCCAAATCTTGTGCTTATTTGGATCATAGGGAACAGTGACAACCAGCTGAGAGTGGTGGGACATGCCTGAAATCCCAGCACTGGGAGGCTGAGGCAGGAGGATTGAGAGGTTGAGGCCACTACAGGCTGCAGAGTTAATTCCTTGTCACACACTGTGACAATGAATAGGTCATCAGTAGGAAGGTTATGGAACCTTCTTGGCTTTGGATATTGGGGCTGCCTCTTAGACAGTGTGTGACTTCTGGCCAACAGCTAAAGCTCTTAAGAATACTTTGTTATCTGAACAATGGTTCTGTCTACCAAGCAAGACTGTGATAACTGGGCACAAGAGTGGTAAATGTTTAGTGCATACAAAGTGTCAATGCTACACCCTGCTCTTGCTGTCTTCTCTCCCCTGGAACCAGCTCTCCTGCCTCAGAGTCCCCTGGAAATGTAGGTCTGTCCCAAGTTTATTGCTCTCAGGATGCCTCGCGGCTACTGCATTTGCAGCAGTGTTGAACTGACCAGAAACACTGACCAATGAGACGTCTCCTCAGTAGCTTGCCATGCCCACCTTCCTCATCTCATCTCTACCAAGCTGCAACTTCCAAACCTGCATTTTTTCAAGGGGCATTTACAACACAGCCAAACTGGGACTGGGCTGTCATGGGGGTGCCTAGTTCTGGGGCTGGGATGTCACAGGGGTGGCTAGCTCTAGGACTGGGACCATCTGGGGAGTCTGGTGATTCCAGGAACCCTCTCTGAAATACAGCCCTCCAGTGCAATTCTTGGCTTTGCTCTCAGACACTACGGGGCCCTCTCGTTCAGTGGTAGCCATTTTCATCCTCTTCACACGTGAACGGCTGTCTCCGCTTCTATCCCTCAACATTTCTTTCTTCCAGGTCTTGTCTGCTCCTTACGTTCCTTTTCCTGAACCTCCCCAGGAGTCTGGAAAAGTGGTTGGCTGAGAGTTTGACAGAGAGAAGATGAACCAATACTGCATTAATGTTACAAAAAGAAGAAAGCAGTAACCGGTGGGTAGTCATTTGTAAACCCCTAGGCTCATCGCTATACAACCAGTCGTGATGAACGTTCTTCAACTCTAACAGGGATTCCTTCTTCTTTGGGTAGGATCTTTTTTTGTTTGTTTGTTTGTTTGTTTTGTTTTTAGAGACAAGGTTTCTCTGCAGTTTTGGAGCCTGTCCTGGAACTAGCTCTTGTAGACCAGGTTGGCCTCGAACTCACAGCGATCCACCTGCCTCTGCCTCCCGAGTGTTAGGATTAAAGGCGCACCTGCCTCTGCCTCCCGAGTGCTAGGATTAAAGGCGCGTGCCACCACCGCCTGGCCTTTGGGTAGGATCTTGAAGGGGAGGAAATGGAGTGGAGTAAAGACTGGGATAAAAGAAACCAGGGGGTTTAAGAAACATATGCCCGGCCGAGCGGTGGTGGCAGACACCTTTAATCCCAGCACTCGGGAGGCAGAGATTGGCGGATCTCTGTGAGTTTAAGACCAGTCTGCTCTACAGAGTGAATTCCAGGACAGGTTCCAAAGCTATAGAGATACCCAATCTCAAAAAACAAAAACAAAATCAAAATACATGCCTGGATCTACCATTGAACTTTTAACTTAATAGGCTCGAAGAAGGTCTTGCCTCATAAATCTTTAAGCGTTATTTATTTTTGTTTTATGGGCATGAGTTTTGGTGTATACACGGGTGTACCATGTGCATGTCTACTGCCTGTAGCGGCCAGAAGAAGGCATCAGATTCCCTGGAGCTGGAGTTCCAGATGGCTGGAAGCCACCATGTGGGTGCTGAGCCGTCTCTCTAGCCCTCACATTTTCATGTTAAAATGGAATAAAAGAAGCACTCAGAAACAGATGGGGATTTCTTCTTAATGGGAAATGGTTCTGGAGAGATGGGCTGGAAATATTAGGAGCAAAGGCCCTTTATTAACTCTCATTTTGGATAATTGCTATGTTCACAACTATTTAATCAGCACAAGAGGGCAATCAATTTTAATCTCCTAGCTAAAGCAGGCTAGAAATTCTGGCCAAAAGTAACTTTGCACCCAGATTTCCAGTTTCACAAAGTTTGTCCTTTCACGCCAGAGCTCTCTTTCACAAGGTCTTTGGTCTTAAATTAACTCCTGGACAAGGTAAAACATTGTATGCCTTCAAGGGAGATGTCTCCAACACCTAATCCATTACTTTCAAATATAAATTCATGATAAAATATGAATTAGTCTATCGTGATTGATAGCGAACTTAAGGTCAAACCAACGTCTGTAACAACCTTTAAAAATAGGTCTGTCCCGGCTGGGCATGTGGCTCAGTGTAACACATCTGCCTAACATACAGATGGCCTTAGGCTAGATCCTCAGCACCCCTAAAGTCTAACAAACAACCAACATGAAAAAGCTCTCACAAAACAAAGATGAAAAGTCTGCCTACAGAAAACTGCTTGCTTGATGCAAGCATCACGTGTCCAGCAAAGGGTGAAAAGTCCACATGAACACTCGCCATCAACATACTTTTCATAGACACGAGCTGGGTGCAGGTACTGCAGAGCGCTTTAGTGGGGTGGGGTGGGGAGAAATGTTCTCTTACTTCCCACTGATGACAAGTCTATCCTCAGCTAAGAGAACACCTGCTGTGGAAACAGGCTGGACTGAGTTCAGAAGAACAGAGCCTGGCTCAGAATCCTTTCAGCTTTTCAACATCCAAGGCGAGGAGGAAAAATGTCCAGCTGAGAAGTGGATAGAAAACAGTGGTGTTCATGAAAGATTTCTTAGACAAACAATAAGAAAACTGGGACAAATCTTGGCTATCTTATTTCTTTTCTAGTGATTGGCAAGCAGTTAGGAATTGTTCAGTTCCCAAGGCCAGTGAGGTTAGGGAATTAAGCTACGGTGACCACGGAGAGCACCAGGGAAGCAGCTGAGGCCTTGTCTTGACCACACCACACCTCACTGGCCATCACTGATGGAACATATTCAGTGCCAGGCTGGTGCTCTGGCCATGGCCACATGCCTCCTGCTGTCCAGCAGCAAAGGTGTGGGGCCTGCAGTGAGAATTCCTGAGTTCTCTGCTCTAGTCCGGGTTTATTGTGTCTGTGTGCCTGAGCAGCGGGCAGTCAGGTCTCTCCTCCAGTCTCTGCCTCCCCCCAGTGCATCTTGTGATCGGTCCTTTTCCTATTTTGGGTGGTGCAGCCAGTCTAGAGAAGCGCAGCGAGCAGGACTGAGCAGAGCTCCTGGGAGCCCAAGGCCTCTTATTTCAGTGCCTCCCAGACTTCTCCCCTCTTCCTAAATCCTCTGACAACCTCATTATCAGTCTTTTGCTCCTGCTCTTGCGCATTCCCACATCATCTTCCATGACGGGGCCGTGACTCATTATGTATATAACCAACCATGTCATTTCACCCTCAAGCCTTCAGCGCCCTCTCATCTTTCTGAGCAATGCCTGGGCTTCTTCTGTGCCTCTCTGACCTCATCTGTCCTCAGTCTGGGATGTTCCAGCCACACGAGCTCCTCATATGTTCCAGGTTTGTCCTTACTGCTGATTTTGGACTCACAGTTTGCGTCCTTGTGTGTTAATTTTCTGTCAACTTGGCATAAGCTGGAGTCCTTTGAGAAGATAGTACCTTTACTGAGAAAATCACCTCATTAGAACAGCCATAGGGAAGTCTGTGGTGCTATGGAGAGCAAGTCAGTAAACAGCGTTTTTCTGTGGCCTCTGCTTCAGCTCCTGCCTCTAGGTTTCTTGTTTGTTTCCTCTGATGATGAATTATAACCTGCAAGCCCATTAAACTCCTTTCTTCTCCTAGTCGCTTTTGGTCATGGTGTCATCACAGCGATAACATAGCATTTTTTTTTTTGTTTGTTTTTTAATTGCGGACTGAGTAAGTTCTTAACCCGGCTTCTCAAAATCATATTTCCTTGGATTCTGCCCTTGGCCCAGAGTTTTCATTCTGTATAAGCCCCCCCCCCCCTAAGGAAATCTCATGGTTTTAAATCTAACGGTGTTAGTGATTACCAAACCTGGCTCAAAGCTCTGAGGTAGACTTGGATACTGAGCTGCCTCGTGATCATCTCTGTGTGGAAAACCTATAGCGATTTTAAACTCAAGTCATCATAGCTAGGCAGCGGTGGTGCCTGTCTTTTAACCCGGCACTCTGGAGGCAGGAGAATGCGGATTTCAGTGAGTTTGAGGCCAGCCTGGTCTACCAAGCAAGTTCTAGGACAGACAGGACTACACAGAGAAACCCTGTTTTGAAAAACTAACCAATAAAACAAATAAACAAACAAAAAACAGTTACATTCAAGACATCTTTGACAGAACTCTATCTTTTTTTTAAATCTAAATTAGCCTCTTCTATACTTCTCAATCCCAGTGCATGGTACCACCTTTGTCTGAACAAGAAAGCTGGGCTTTTCCCGCACTCTCTCCTGTTCTTTGCCCACTGTTCATTATTGTTCTCTCTCTGCACTTGTAACCCTGGGTTACAGCGACGGCTCACGACACATCCTCATTATTGTCGATGTCTGTGCACTAACCAGACGTTTCTATGGTTTCCTTTCCCCTGCATCCAAGGTACCCTACCTTCCCATCCTTGAAGTGCTTCTTCAGCTGTCTCTGCATGGCGGTCAGCTTCTTGGACTGCACTCCGCTGTAGGCCAGCAGCATGCCACCAAACTGCCTCTCAGTGATTCGTCCATCCACCGGGTCATGGCGTTCAAACTGGGTGGGAAGGAGACAGAGTGTTTGTGGGAGTAAATGGAAGGTTTTAACATGGATTGCAGAATGATCAACAGTGTTCCATGAAAGAAATGAATTTGGGCCTCAGTATCTTACAGATAAACCAGAACTGCTTGTATGCATACATGAAATTACCACAATAAAAATCATTACTGAGTTATCAATATGTGCTAATAAAAAAAAAACAGAACAGTCAAAGCTCCTCCCATATCCCACAGGTCAGGAGCACTCTTGAGAGGATAGTGCCAATTTTAAAACTCTACAAAAATTCAAAAATTCACAATTTTTTCCTTCCTCCTTCCCACCCTCCCCTCCCCCCTTCCCCTTCCTTCCTTCCTTCCTTCCTTCCTTCCTTCCTTCCTTCCTTCCTTCCTTCCTTCCTTTCGACAGACTTTCACTATGTAACCCTGGCTGGTCTGGAACTCAGTCTGTAGCAGGCTGGCCTTGAACTCATAGAGATCTGCCTGCCTCTTCCTCCCAAGTGCTGGAATTTCTACATGAAAAGTAATAACCACTCTCTAAGATTTCCCATGCCTTACTTCTCAGAGAAGACTTAAACACGATTACAAATTTTATCAATTGTGCATATGCAAAATCAAGCTTTTGTGAGCTGCCATGTGAGTGCTGGGAATTAAACTCGGGTCCTCTTGAAGAACAGCCAGTGCTCTTAACTGATGAGCCATCTCTAGCCCCCCAAATCAAGTTTTTGTATGCACTTAGATCTTTAGGGACTTCAAACAAGAGTAATTAATACATTTATAAGTTTTCTGGAAAATGAATAACTGAATATTAGGATATCCATAGAGTTTAAGAAAAATAGGTATTTAAAAATATGCATACAGGGGCTGGAGAGATGGCTCAGCGGTTAAGAGCATTGCCTGCCTTTCCAAAGGTCCTGAGTTCAATTCCCAGCAACCACATGGTGGCTCACAACCATCTATAAAGGGGTCTGGTGCCCTCTTCTGGCCTGCAGGCATATACACAGACAGAATATTGCATACATAATAAATAAATATTAAAAAAATATGCATCCAGCATAAAATGCCCTTAGCAGACTTGCTAATTACAAAGCTACTGAAAAATCATTAAAGACATTTATATATGCAGACAAAAAGTCTAAGCATTAAGGACTTCTAGCTATTCTAAGGGTTATCAGAAAATTGAGATTTCATTTAAAGAAAATGACGTGAAGATGGTAGGATCTCTCCACGGTTTTACTGGAACATCATAGACACACGGAAATGTGCCCATTCCTACACGGCAGGGCTAATCTGTTCTCCTGAGAGGGTATACACAGACGTCAGAGGGTACTAAGGGCACATCAACAGAACTTCCTGATTGTCTTCTAGTCTTCCAGCACTTGGATTGGTCATTGTGCGGCACAGAAAGGAAGGAGACAATTCTGTTTTCGCCCTATGGAGATAGGACACACGAGACAAGCAATGAAAATGAAAATTGCTAAGAAAGGATTCTTTCCCTTCTCATTTCCTCAGTTGGCCTGGTCAGCTGACACACCTTATCTCCTCACTCATGAGCCACGGGAGTGTCGAGCCATGAGAACCACGCTGTAATAGCAACCCTTTACTGTGCATGCGCCATACCCAGGCAGCTAACTTACACAATCTTTCATTTAAGCTCCACTCTGCAGGTAAGACTGAGGCGCTATGCAAGCACACGTTACAAGGCTGGGTGTGCAAAGGCAGCCCAGCCCATCGAGGCTGACACCATCTCCTGCTTCTCCCCAACCTTCAGGACAGCACTCGGTCACTTTGAATCAACTAGAACAGCCGGGGGTGGGAATGGGAGGCTGAGCGCCTTGTTTAAGAGAAAGCAAAGCTATCTGCAAAGGAAATCAAGGCCATCAATACCAAGTGAAGGTCTCCTTCCCCACCCAAGCCCGCGGTGTTCTACATCGGTCATTCCATCACTTCCATAGGACTGATTAATTTCCGACAAGACCCAAAGGTTTTGGGATTCGATTTAAGTTTGATTTATGGCTCAATTTACCATCCTGGAAGAAAACAGAGGAACTGATAAAAATTCTGCAAGTGGGCAACTTTCTGCACTGTTTGCAGCAGGCGGATCTCTATTTCCAGTGGGCTTAAACGCCTGAGTCAGAGTCCATTTACAATTGGAACCTAAGACGAAGCTATGGCCCCTGTTCTGCAGGCTGGACATTGGTACTCCCCTTTCTGGAATTCCCCATGTCGTGGGAGCAATCTCATACCTCAGCATTTCAGCCCTCTGCGGCAAGGCAGACTTGAGGCTGAAATGTTTGTCTGCAAACTGGACAGCAGTTGGCTTGCTCAAGGCTCAGGGAAGTCCTTCAGTTTTCAGCCACCAGACGTGCTGGAAATGCCTCTGGTATTTTTCAAGGGCAGTTTCCAGGGGAGATCCTCAAGCAGCAATTTCAGTGATCAAATTAGGATTTTTACTAACATTGAAGGCCCAGACTTGGCTTTTGGTAACAGGTTTCATTATTATTAAGCAATTAGAACTGAAACCCTTAAACACTAATATTTGCTCTTTCTGCACAGTCTGGCCCACTTCAGAACTCAGGGCTTTAGCACTTTGATTTGCCTCTGGGCAGCGCCTCTCTGCTTAGGCTACTGTGTCTTCTGAGGCAACACTACGTAATGAGTTTTTTTCTGCATTGTGGGGGATCAGGGCCTCATGTGTGCCAGCCTGTATGTTTCTGAAGTCTTTTTTTGTTTTGTTTTGTTTTTCGAGACAGGGGTTCTCTGTAGCTTTGGAGTCTGTCCTGGAACTAGCTCTTGCAGACCAGGCTGGTCTTGAACTCCCAAAGATTCTCCTGCCTCTGCCTCCTGGGATTAAAATGCTGGGATTAAAGGCGTGCACCACCACCACCCGGCTGTTTCTGAAGTCATAAATATGGCAGGGGTGGGGCCGTGTGTGGGTATTTTACACACACACAACTAGTAACAAACACATGCTCACTTAGGTTGAATCCCCGTCAATTCCACTTAGGTGACAATTAAGGAATTCCGTTCTAGTTAGTCCTGTGGCAAAGAACCTGTGGCCCAGCACACTACTCACTGTGCTGCCCCTCCGCCTTTCAAAGGCAGCTGCAGAGCTTTCCCTCTGCAGCCCCTGCCATGGTCTCAAACGAATATGCTATGCGCGCATACAAGCTGTCTCCCTGCTGATCCCCAGAGGGGTGGTGGGGCAGGCAAGCAAGGGCCAGAAAAGAGAAGCCAGCCAGCAAATGCTAAGATTTTTCCTGGCTTTCTACACACAGTATTTTTGTCCCCTGCTCCTTGCGGAGAGAAGGAATAGCCTTTTGGAGGGACAGATGGTCTACATTTATCTATGGGAGATGATCCGAGGAAGATGAAAAGAGAGGGAGAGAAGAAAACATGTTTTAATATAATGGCTAAAAAAAACAAAGATGGAAACACAGTAGAAAGGAGGAAGAAATCGGTATCTGAAAGTGGGTCATTACTTAGTGAAGACAAGGCGTTATCACACTCTAGGAGGTGTAAAGCAGACCACACTATCACACAGTGACAGCCTCCGAAGAGACCTGTCCAGTCTCCAGGCAAACCTTTTCCCGTACACAAGCGTTTCAGAATGACAAACTCTGCAGAGGCCTTTTGTAGCTTCTAAATTGCACAGTGCAACACCGCACGGGGCTTCTGTGCCACCATTATTCCTGCAGGAGTTTCGTACTATTAGGTTCATGAAAAAGAAAACGGATTACAGGCACTACTTCCCGTGGCACACCGTATTTTAAAGTTTGAGCTGCAATCTGTTTCTATAATTGGATGGGCATCTCTAAACTACGAGGAATCTTCATGGCCTCACTAATAGCTGTCTTCTGGCAAGGTGAGGATGTGCCAGCCTGCAGTTTGGGATGGAGGCAACATCCGCTCTGTGCTCAGCAGACTCAGACCATGAGATTACTGAATATCAACCAAACTGCTAGGCTGCTTGTGGTGCTGGGTCCTTGTGCACGCTGGGCAAGTGATTATTCTATCTCTGAGTGACATGCCAGCCTAAACAACTATACTTTTCAATTCCAAACTTAAAGAGTTCTTACAGTTTAAAACTGGTTTAGCTGGAGCCAGAAGTGGTGGTGAATACATGTAATTCCAGCACTCAAGATGTGGGCTGGGCACGGTGGTGCATGCCTTTAGTCTCCGCACTGGGAAGGCAGAGGCAGGCGAATTTCGAGGCCAGCCTCGTTCACTTAGTGTTTCAGGGCCAAACCTTGCCTTTTTTGTTGTTGCTGTTGTTGTTTTGTTTTGCCTGGGAAAGGTGGTGTGTGACTGTAATCCTAGTTACTTGGGAGGCTGAGGTGGGAAAAATCATTAAGAACTGCCCCAGGGAATCAAAAAGAAGGAAGTTTGGGCTGTGATTAAATCAGTTGACCAAATCCTGAGTTCCAGGGCAGCCTGGGCTGTGTAAAAAGACCCTGTCATAAACAACAACAACAACGAGGGTGGGGGAAGAAAGGCTGGCAATGTGGCTCAGCTGACAGAGAGCTTTGGCACGCATGAAGCCCTGGGTTCGGTCCCCAGCACTGCATTAACTGGCAGTGATGGCACATGTGGTCCCCATTACCCCAGCATTCAGGGAGGTGCAAGACAGGAGGGTAGGAAGTTAGAGGTTATCCTTGGCTGCACACACAGGTCATTCTGAGCTACACGAGGATTATCCTTGGCTATACAACACAGGTCATTCTGAGCTACATGAGACACTGTCTTTAAAAAAAAAAAAGTAGATTGCCAGCTGCATTTGTTACAAATTTGGCAATCTGCTATGTCACTAGTTGGAATGTCTAGGGCATTTTAACTATCATTTAAATATTTATATGAGCCCAATTAACCAGGTTGCCTCTCCTGAAGAGTCTTGGGCGACGTTCGGCCAGTTAACTCATCTTCTATTCAAATGTGTCAGGGTGGTATTAGGAAAGATCTGTTTTCAAAGAAAAGACGGCCTGGGAGAGCAGGATCTTCAAA